TCATACTTAATATTAAAAATTTTTGATATTATAATATTTTTACATACATTGATATGTACACGCAGAGATATTTATACATACATACATATATACATATACATATATTGCAAAATCGTTGAATGAACTTTTGCGTCAATTTGCATGTATATGTATAAAAAATAACTCTTTTTCATACATTGCTCTACATTTTCTTAAAATATTATAAAAAACTATATATACACATACAATAACACTTCAAATATAAAAATTTGAATAAAATTGTTATATCTTATTACCGTTGTTACACTTTAAATTGTCGTGTCTCGATTCTGTACTCTTTATTCAACTCTAATTGCCTAATCCTCGCATAAAATGCACTGGCAGTAAGGACAACGATATTGCTTATCCACCAGAGAAACGATTTCTTTTCATTAAACCAATAAGTCGCTAAAACTGTTTGAGCGCATGCTTTTGCGGTACCGCTAACATTATGTGTTAAAGGAGATGTGACTTTTATCTGAAGGGCAGTGAAATATCCAATGGCAAAGCCGAATACACCACCGATTGTCATGGCACCCCAGAAAAGAGGATGTCCAAGCTTCTCATAATTATATACAGTGGTATGTTCCCCGCTAATTATCATTAACGGGATGAAGATAATAATGCTATACACATTGTTATAATATGAAAGTAGCCAGATGTCTTGATTTACGATCGGGAGCGTTTGTTTCATACGGATAGAATACAAGGATAACGACAATGATCCAAGCACGCCGAAAAATGTTCCGAGAATAGATAGAGAACCTGCTACATGCTCTTGATCCACCCCTAACCAGAACCCAACAATAATTACTGCGCAGCATGCTATACATTTGAAAGATGTTGTTTGTCCTGCAACTTTTGCTAATTAGTTCTTCCATTAATTTATATTTTTTAGTTTAGCCGGTATGTGTAGAATTCTCACCGAGTAAAATATAAGTAAATACGACATTAAATACCGTCGTTAGCGAACGACCCACGTAGTAAAATGCAACACCAACATATTTTAAGCACAAGTTATTAGTTGCTATCATTGCAGTAAACAGAATTGATAATGGCAATACCTATAAAAATTTTAAATATATATATATATATATATATAAACATTTTATATAATCTCATATAAATGTAAAAACTATATCAGAAAGAAATTATAATATTTAAAACTACAATTTTTCAAATATTTTAATTCACAATATACGTTTTTTATTGAATTTATTAAATGTTTCTCAATTTAAAGTGTAAAAAAAATCTTTACACAAAGATTTCTCTCAAAATTAAATAATCCATTTCTAGTTATTTGTAATGAAAATAAACTCAAGATGTAATTGAAAAACACAGGAAATAGGAATAGGGAATAACAGATCTCAAGCTATCAGAAACCATGTATGAAAAATGGTATATATAATGCTTTTCAATTGTGTCTCAGGCTTAACATTACTATCGTATAATATTCTTAAAACAAGTTATATACCTTTCTCAAAGTATCCTTTTTAAATGGACTATCATTTGCGATTTCAATGCAGTCTGGAAACCATTGGGATATTATGCGTAAAGTAATACAGATAGCTACACTCACTATACATTGAAACCAAGTTACAAATAAAGGAGCATTCAAATTCACAGCATCACTGGACAGGAGTGCTTTATTCACGAATACAGTCAAAATTGATACTATCCTGAAAATTAATTAGAAAATACATTTAAAGAAATACCTTTAACTAAGAAATTGTTTATAATTTAATTTTAAAGATAATTAGTTATTATATTCTTTGTATCTTGAGAGAAGTTTAATTTGTATAAATATATTTAATAATTAATAAAACAATATACGAGTAACTTTATATCACTTTGAGACTTACCAATAGGCTGCAATCACATATGTAATGTATGCATACTTCGATGTCAGTCCCTTTTCTAATTGCATCTTGGAGTTTATATAATTTTTAGGATAATCAATCTCAGTAAATGCTGAGTCAAACTATTATGGCTATTGTAAAATTGACAGTCTGCATTAATCAGATATGTCAAATTACTGTCCTTTGCATATTGCTATTTACGAACTAATTCTACAAAATCACAATGTTTCAACCAGATGGCAAATAAATAGTTTTGAGACTGCAATTTGATATAATTTACTAAAATGCGTATTCTAAATTGCCACATCAATAGGTTTACTTTTCTTGCTTCACTGTACTACCAGATTTTCTTTTGTGCTTCTGACACAAATTTCAAATATATATCTATTTCTTAAAATACAAAAAGTGTAGTTGAAAATAAAAATCTATAAAAAATTAAACTTCTGTTATTAAGAGAAGAAATTGTGCTATTTATATTAATTTATGCTTGTCATCAATCATAGACGTTGATAAAAACATGTTTATATCAATTAATGCGTTTTTTGTGAAGCAAACAAATCTGACAATTGAAATTTATGCACTGCAACTGCTCTACAAAACGAGATATTATTAAGTATTATTAATTAAAGTTGAGGACTTTGGTATTTGTGCCATTGAATGATGGCTCTGTTTTCGTTAAAGTTGAATATTAGGTTAAGTTAAGTTAGGAAACGTGTCATATGAACGACTCTGGATGCGATGCATTTGACGCTACAAATGTTTCGAAACTTTTGATTGACCAATCAAAAGAAAGAATTTTAATAATTGACTAATCAAAAAATGCTTTGAAACATTTGTAATATCAAGTGGACCGTAACCTCTAATGAAAGACTGTGATGTGAACATGCGTGATAGAAAAAATGCACGAAATTAAAAATTGTTTTAGATACAAATTTAAAAATTAATTGAGCTTTATATAGATCAAATAAAAGATATTACAAAAATTTATGTCGGAGATATTCTTGTTTAACAACATATACCTAGTGACAGTTTTGTCAGAAATTTTAAACTAAATTTGTCAATAGAATAATCAATTAACATTTTTTAGTTACATTGCATTTTCTTCTAATTGATATCTTTTTTCATTATTTGAATATATGCTTATTTTAGAAGTGCGAAGATTCATTTTCAACAATCAATTATTATATTTTTATGTATTTATGTATTGAAATTTATTAAATATAATGTAATATATTATAATGTAAAATGTAATACAATATAAAAATATATATAATATTAATTCAAAAATTAATTA